CATCTTATAAAAGTTATACAGTAATTATTAGTATCTTGCTAATAGTTGTAATATTAAAAATATATTTTCAAAAGTCAGAGGAAAGGGAGGAACATTTCCTATCATCTACAGAGGAGCGTACATTGTTACGCTTTTATGAGTTGCAACTGAGAGATTTCTGTCGTCGATTTAGCCCTCCAATGCCACGGGCTACAATAGCAACTGCGTTGCACTACTTTAAAAGGTTCTACCTAAGAAACAGTGTCATGGATTATCATCCGAAAGAGATATTAGTTACATGCGTTTACTTGGCTTGTAAAGTAATTATCATGAGCTTAATCTGAGCTTGCCTATGAATTCATATGTTTCATTGGAGGATGTATTTTAGGTAGAAGAATTCAATGTTTCTATATATCAATTTGTTGCCAACATTAAGGGTGACAGAGATAAAGCATCTGATATTATACTTAATAATGAGTTACTTCTTATGCAACAATTGAATTATAATTTAACAGTGCATAATCCGTTCAGACCTGTAGAAGGATTAATGATTGATATTAAGGTACATTAGTAATTAAGTTAGGATTTATTTAATGTTAAGGTAATTTTAACTTAGGCACTTTTAGACAAGGTATGCATCATTGGAGAATCCAGAAAGGCTAAGACCATATATAGATGAGTTTTTAGAGAGAGTCTTCTTAACCGATAGCGTTTTACTTTATGCTCCAAGCCAAGTTGCATTGGCAGCCACATTACATGCAGCATCTAGGGCATCTGCAAACTTGGATAATTATGTGACTGATATTTTATTCTCTAAGGAGCATTTAGGGTGTATAATTGAAGCAGTAAGAAGTAAATATAAGTTTATAAATAGTGTTTAGAAATATTTTTAGGACATACTGCAATATAAAATGATTATTCTAGAAATAAGGTCTATGGCAAAATGCGTAGAACCTCCATCGAGGGATGTAGTAAGGGCTCTGGAAAAGAAATTAGAGAAATGTAGAAATCAGGAAAATAATCCTGACAGTGATATGTAAGTATAGGTATAAGCTAATTTACAGTTTAGTTTAGTGTTATTTTAGGTGGAAGTAAGTTGATTTTAGTAGTAAGGTAATTTGGCTGGTTCTTGTACATTGTACAATTATAGATATAAGCAAAGAATGCAAGAAATGTTGGATGAGGAAGACCTACAGGATAACGAGAAATATGCTAAAATAATACAGGATCAAGCAGCCCATGATGAGAAGGTCTTAGGAGTTAGCAAAGTTTTGTCTCCTTCAGCTCTTTAGTAAATAGATCCTAAGTTACCATAAGAAAATACTGTAACAAATTTCATTAATATAAGTTTTATACGAAAATTCGTTTGTACAGTTAATAAATAATTTATTATGTAGCATATAAGACAAAAATACAATATTATTTATGAGTATACTTATTTGGAGATGAAAATATGTTTGTTCAGTTCGTCGATTAAAAATGAACAGACTGCGTTCGAAAAAAATCTCCATACTGTATATATTGCATCTCTCCTTACAATAAATGCAAGTACAAAAAATACCGTACTTTCCGTCGAATCTTTAACTTTTTATCTATTTACCGACGAATATCCAATCCTTTTGGATATCATTTTTCAAACGTGATATGTATCGATAGCGCCGCGTTTGGCGCAACTTCCGAATCGTTCCAATTCTCTCATTCACCCACATAGTAGAAAGACTTACAATTTCAAAGTTTGAAAACACTAACATAAATTACGATACAGTGCACTACGTTCTAAAATGGTTAACGATATCTACCATACGTGATCCCAGTTTTTAGCGATTCGTTCGCGCACTATAATTTCATTGCGGTGGACACACACATTCTTAGGTTTAACACAACTGCTAGCCACTTGTTTATTTACGAGTCCGGATGCCGAAAGTCTAATCTCTGACTCAAATGATACGGTTGACTATTTGTGGGGATATTTTGAAAAATCGAAGACTGTTGTCCCATTGATAAATTACTCGGCAGTGGTTGCACGATGGGTAAGGCAGGTGGTAAAGGCACTGTCGCTAAATGTTGAGGGAAGATTGGCGTTCCTGGTTGCGGTTGTCCCGGATAATTAAAGAACCTAATGTCAAATGTGTCGATTAAAATTCGAAAGAAATACATTAATATATATGAAAGGAGAAAAGGTACTCGCCATAAACGATCTCCGACAAAAATCGGCCGAGGCGCTGGAATTCCCAGACTGGAATAATATTGTTGTGCCAGCAACTCTACATCGTTTGTGTATTTCCTCTTCCACTTGGTGCGTCTGTTTTGGAACCAAATCTTAATCTATGTAAAACAAAAAAATGAAGCTATCTCAACAATACTGCGTGATTGAGTGGCAAAGGCTAATCGAGAGAACGATAGACCGCCCGGGACAAAGATAAGATAGTCGATACGTAAAATTAAGGGATACTTCCCTGCCAAATGTTTGGGAACCAAAAATATTTGCCCCGGGTGAGGATCGAACTCACGACCTTAAGATTATGAGACTTACGCGCTGCCTACTGCGCTACCGAGGCTCTTGAAAAGCTTTATTCCGAACCGTTTGAACAGGGTGGTAAGTGGTTCAGAGCTTTTTCAAGATCCTTGTAAAAACTTAGCTATTTCTAAGTTTCATATCGAACCGTATTAAAGAGTGTGAGAAACGTGGAAGCGTGACTGATGGCGTGTGTCTTGGATTCGAATGTGGATGCGTGGAAGTGGATGATCATATGGACGTCTCGGAGAAAAAGCGAACACGTGAAGCGACGAGGGAAAAAATGATCCAAAAGTTTTCTGAAGGGAAGCCGGATTCGGAGCATTCGAGCGGTAATATATCCTAATTAAAAAATCGACGCCTCTTCGGTCCGACGCCTCGCAGCATCCGTCGTCCGGGACGTTTGGTTCTTGTGGCATGCTGGAACGTATACGCGCGGATCGGAGAAACACCAAGAAGAAGGGGACTCCCGGAGCTGGCTCGTTAACTACGAGAAATATTGTGACAGTTATGTCTGCGGCACGACACGTCTCCTTCTTCCCTCTGATCCGTCGTCTGATCGTCCTCCCTTTCGCCGTGATCGCGAAGATAATTATCTGCCTCGTTCGCGGCGCACCGCGATATTTCTACCGTTCTGGCAATTACTGCGGATCCGCAACATTGCTGGCCGGCCGATTGCAACCGCGCTGAAGGAGAAAATATGCAGCCGCGTTATCGTAAATTAATTAATTTAAAGCGCGACAAACCCTCCTCGCGAGCCAATGCGCTACAAAGTGAATGGAGGACTTATGTAACTGGGCTTAATCTACTTTACAGCTTCGCGTAGTTAACACGAAGATTACTTAAACCCTCCCCAGTTGCCTCCGGGGCCAGGGTAATATTAGAAACCCGGCGAAAGCTGCGTAAAAAGGTGTGTCACTCGTGTCGCGCGGCGCTGTCACCCGGCAAAAACGATCGAACCGCTAAGGAGAACCCGATCATTAATTAAGCTTCTTCCACGAAAGGAAGAAGCGACCATTTTGCTGTCTTATCGAGTCGAGTACGCGGGAAGAAACGGCGTATAAAGTGCTAATTGGTGCTCGAGGGGGCGATCTTCCCCCATGGCGCCATTGGATCTGGCGCCTACACATATGGTGGCCCTCGGTCCCATAATTCAGAGGCTAGTTGATTTTTAAGGGACTGCGTCTAAAGGGACAAGGAACTTAAACTATTTCAGGTGGCGAGTCCTGCGGAAGTCGCAGCGGATGTTATCGCGATTTATTGTGCGCAGTGCGTCTTGTTCGGGGCGACTTCCGCGGAACATGTTTCCTTTTAATCTTCCGGGAATCTTGCTTGTCTGTTGCCTATTAGAATATACGGGGTGTCGGGTAAATCGCGATACCGTTTCGTTAATCTACATCGCGCGGTACGCTTTATAGTAAGAGTAACTTGTAATCGATCGGCTTTCATCGGTGTTCGATCGACGAACAATGCGTATCATCCGTACCTGCGTTTCGGTGAGTTTGAGGCTCTTGCTGAGCTGCAACCTCTTCGCCACGCTCAGGTATTTGTTCCTCTCGAATTCCGCTTCCAACGACTTAATCTGCGACGCGGTGAACGCGGTCCGCGGCCTCTTCTTCCTCTCGTCGTCGCTGATCGCACCTCCGCTTTTTTCTTGACCGTCTCTATCCGCACCTGTCGTGGAGTTGGCACCACTGCTGCTGGTGCACGCTTCTGTGACGATGCCGCGGAAAAGAAGAAAGATAAGTCGCGACACGTCCAGCCCGCCGGGAACGGAATAATTAAACAGAGCTCCCTTATCGTGTAATTATCGAGTAATTGCGTGACACGGCCCCGTTACATTGGAGCCCGAGAGTAAACGGAACGCGAAACACGTCGTAATTAAATGAATTCTAATAACACGTGTAGTCGCGGTAGATTGAACCGTGGCCCGCGGTAAATTATAAACCGTAACGTCGTGATCGGCGTTTGATTGGGAATAAATGGAGCAGGATCGAAGCGAGTGACGCATTGACAAAGGTCCGTCATTAATCGTGGCGGCCGGTTCGTAGGTAGAACACCGTGACGGACCTTGTTTTCGTTTTTAATTACTTGTAAATGAGACCACGCGCGGCTGCGCGCCGCGGACACCGACTCTCGGCTCCCGGCTCCCGGCTCTCGGTCCCGGCGAGGCCCAATTACCCCCACGAAATTTTCCTCCTCATCAATCTCGAGACTCCTTTTTGCCCGTCGAAGTTGTTTATATTTATATTTATCCCGGCTTGTACAAGCCGGTCGTACAAGACGTCGCGCCTCGCTCATGAGGAATGTCTTCGGGGTCTCTTTTAGTCGGCTGGTAACAGGACCGCGGCTCTAAGCAGCGGGGATCATCTTCTAATTATCTGCCCATTCGTCATCCGACGAAAAACCGTGGCACCGCGCCGCTCCGCCACTGGATATATGTCTGCTACTTCGGGGAAAAAGAAAAAGAAGACACTTGCGACACACCGCGTTTCTGTGACGCGTCGTCGTTCCACTTTTATTACCACGCGTCAATTTAGCATCTTGAGAAGCTAATCAGATTCCCCCGCGTCCTAGGAATTACGACCGAATATTTCCAATTGAATTTGTCGACGCGAAGGTGTTTGCAAAGGGTGAAGCGGAACGTGTCCGTCAAATCGAGATTCAACCCCAAGGCAATCGGTTTTTTTAACCCCAATAATTCGACGCCTAAAGCTTCCTTGTTCCCGGGTAGAATGAATCGGAGTCGAGGGACCCTCGCAGTTGGGAAGGCAATAAATATCCCGATAAAAGTATTTGCGGCTCGGTTACAGGGACCGCGGAGTGTCGTTTACCGGCTACTAATTGTCAGATGGCGACGTAATTGTCGCGTTTCTCGCGCGTTTTTCGTGACTTCCCTTCGGCCCGTACTACCGAGTCGCCGGCTAAAACCGTACCGCCTCTAATTCACTCGACGTGAACCACGCCGTGCGACGTGCAACGGCCGTGTGTACGTGCAAAGTCAGGAAAGATTCCAACTCGGAAGCCTAAATAACAGTACACGCCGGATAATAATATCAAATTGTTCTACAAATTGCTACTGTTCGCGTTTTAGCGTCGTAAGAGGATCAACGGGAACGTGATTCATCGGGCAACTTACGCGAGAAAAATTATTGTTTGTCCCGTTTGCTTAGCGGTGCACGGCCGCGGAATTCTAATGGACCGTCCGTTTAAGGATTACAATATCCTGAGGGGAGGGAGAAGAATTACGGGGCAGGATCTACGGCGCATTTTTCACCGGAAGCGTCAAGCGCGCGAACGGAAGAAGGAAAATATTTTCGGAGGGTGACTGCGTTCTCTCTCGCGCGGCTCATTTGTCGTCGACTTTCTGACTCGGTTGCATTGACGAACGAGCTCCGCGAAGAAGGAAGAAAGGGTTAGAGGAGACGCGGCGCAAAAAGATGGCCAGGACAGCGGCGCGAGTGTGCTCGGGATGGAGGACCGCGAGCGACGCCGAAATAGAACACCACGCCCTCTAGTTTACCTAATTGCCGCGAGCCGCGGTGAACTTGTCTTCTAATTATTCGGTGATGAATGGCGCGAGCACGAGTAGAAATGCGCGATAAAGCGTGGCTAATTTTCATTCGTTCAGCGCTGCACGAGTTCACGGTGCCGGCCGACTGCCGAGATAATTAATTCGTGCACGAGCCGCCTCGATTGGTCAAACGGCGGCCAGAGGTGAGATGGATGGCCGAGCCTTTTGTTATGATCTAGGGTGTTGTTCCACGGAATTGCCGATTAAGAGACATCAACGGAACAAGGTGACGCTCCAATTCGGAAGAGAATAAAAAGGCGCGGATGGATTCCAATTAAAAGAAGTACAGTTCTAATCGACCGATCTACAGATTTGCGTTACGCGTGATCAACGTTATCGCGTACGAAACGTACCGACCATTGGATATAAGAAAGACGGACTCGTTCGCAAGGAGAACAACTTTTGGACGATTTTACTCGTCCGCGGGGTTGACTCTCACGAAGATTTACGGATCGCGTTGACGGCTTTGTAGTTGGACGCGACGTCCCACATATCTCAGTCCGGGCACACGGCGCAAACGAGAATTGTCCTTTCCTTAGATCTCGAATTTATCGCGCCGACCATTATGCTGTGTAAATCAAGCAGCTGGTGGGTCCTTGGTAGAAATTAGTCGACGAGAAACTTAAATCCTTCCGGTGAAATGGAATTAAGTTGCTGTGCGGATCTCGATGGCTTCTCGTAAGTCCTCAGCCGGTCACAACATTCGTTCGAAGTGGAAACTTTGTACCAAAGATTGTCGATATAACCACGAAATGGAGAGAATTCTAAGCATCGTTTATTTAATGCGTTCAAACGAAATTGGGTTGTATTATGTGCTTGATGCCATTGGACAAGGGCTTGCGCGACTGTTTCCTCCGCGAACGATTGTCGTCGAGAATTGCCAAATACAGAAGTGGAATTGTTACGTGTATTTGATCGGTTAACGAAGAAAAAGAAAGGATTCTTTTCTCGTAGAAAGAGGGGTCGAAGAAGCAAGATCAAATGCACCAAACAAGATGCCACAGAATGGGCACGGTCTGCTGGGTCTTTTTTCATTCTACGCTAGGTACCGCGGGAAGGCACATTTTGCTGCATTTCCATGGCAGAATTAGCAGGAGACAGATAAATAGTGGACGAGAAGCAGGAACACTGAGTGGGCGTGGACCCTGCAGGAAGTAATGGATCAAACTCACGGGCAACTGTCCTCCGCGCAAACTTACGAATTCGTTACCACACGAGGGTACCGGGTGGATTCTGTAACAATCACTCCCTTTCACATCGGTAACAATATCCGAATTAAGTGGGAACAATTACTCTTTATTACATACTATGTAATAACCGTGAGTTTCAAAGGCTCGAAGAGGACTTAAGTTTTCTGTAAACGCATTTGTCTCGTAGATACGCGTCGTTTTCGGTTTTGTTCTTTAAAACAGTCTGCGCAGCCTTTAAACCGTCATTTTTGTTATTATTTATGCATTAAGAATACGATAAAAGAGTCGGTTAAGATGTTGAAAGAACGAACACGTTTCCGTGCTGTTCGATTGAGATACTTTCGCTAATCGACTGATTTTGCAAAAGGTAAATACGCGATAGACACTTTGCGACGCCTTAATATCAATTTTTCATCTGGAATAACTCCAATGTTGATTTTATCCTCGCTGTAGGCCATGTGCCTTTATTAGCTAAGTGATTTGAGAAAACAAATACAGGTGTCAAACACTTGTACAATTTAAGTCCTGACAATTTGAGTATCGCAAAATGCTGCTGATCATCGAATTTAGTAACATAATAAATGCTGCGTTAAATAAATTTCTATGCCCATCAGCGACAGCGCCTTGTACGTATTAAAAAGTTGAAAAAGTCGAAAGTATTGAAACGGTTTTCTTCGAAACTTCATCTTCACTTACCGTAGCACATTTCTGGTTCAGGAGAAGTGGAGCAAACCATATCGGAATCATCGAATTCGATATCCTCCACCATGATCATCGATGAATCCGGCGCTACCAATTTCCGGCCATCCGAGTCGTTCGCTGCTTAAAAGGATCAACATAAGATTGAATTGATTGTTCCTTAATTAGTTCTAGACTCTCCCAAATCTACTTACATTCATGACCGTGCAAATAAACTTCGGTTTGAATGGGCACACGCCTTTCGTCCCCCGTGCTCTTCTTGGTTGGCGCTAAAAGGCTTTCAATGCTGAACGAGCATAATTTCGGGCTTTCGGCTAACTCTGTCGATTCCTTGGCAGATTCCGATGGTTTTACGCGCTCCTCCGACATTCTAAATTCTCTTCTTACTCAAATACTAGCCACTATCATCTAAATCTTATCACCATTCAATATTCCAATTGGACAATCGAATGTCCCGGATCCTCTGAAAATACGTGTCCTCACTTTCGCGCAATCTCTTCGATCGTTTCATCGATTCTTTCGTGACAGTGGTTCATTTATCACACATCGCACCATTTGTACACCACGATCATCACCGAGGAGCCACAAGTTCACTCTGAACGACAAGTCGGTTTTATGGAGAATCAGTGACACGTCCAAGTGTTGTCATCTGGAACCAACGGGTCCCTAATGATCTCTGGTGTAGGGAGCACAGGATCGATTCCGGTTTATCGCCACCCTGCGAACCGTTCGCGGGATTAGAGTCGAAACCAGCGACTGTTTGTCGGGGTTGCTCGCGATGTCCAACAATATTTTTTTTGGCAGCCAAGTCAAATTCTTCGTTCTTCGAGGCGGTGTCGAAAAGCCACGTGCTCACGACGTCATCCGCGTCGCGGCCAATCCGGTGCCGCTCGGGGCGGTTCTTGGCAAGCACGTGCGTTTCTGGAAGGAGCCCCTAATGATCTCGTACAGCGCGACGGTAGCAGTCACTAAACGGTGGTAATGAGGTATCCATAAATTTCTGTCACCGCCATGAAACGCTATTTAATAATTGTCCTGACAGAAGGCGGGCGTGATTCGAAATCAATTTTCAATCTGTTGCACGTGAAACGTATAAAACTCCCCGACTTCCGTATCATCGACGCGACGGTCCGATGGAAGGCGTCGTAATGACGATCCGCTGAACGTGTTACCAGCATTTCGATAGCTTAACGATCCCGTTACATATAGAAATATTCGAGCGTCTAATGGAAAGAGAATATTCGCGGAATTTATAGATCGAGGTGGGCGGACGATTATTGGCAAATATTTGGATATTTGTACAGAACAAGATGAGCAAGATGAAAAACTGAATAGCCCGGATGTATTATTAGATCTTAGCCAACGGTTCGCGTCGTTTGAATTCCTATGGATTCATATAAAACGGTGAAGCGCGACAAGTTTGTCAGGCGTAACGCGGCTTGCGCACAATCAGTCGTGGTTTTAATGAGATTATTAGACGCACAATCGACTGTATTAACGCGACGATGATAGGGATGACAGAGTGATACAAGAACTGTTGACAGATGTGGAACTTGGCTGCGATTATGCGAACCAGCAAAATACACTGCAGAAATTTGTATCAAACCGTTCGCAGCCAACTCGCGATTATTCCGTATAAATCAGATCGGCCAGCGCGTCCCGTGACAATTCCTTGCCGGACAAGCTCCAATTAAAATTGATTTACGGTCGGTTACGTCTGATTTATATCGAACTATCCATTTTTAACTGAACCGTAAATATGAAACGTCGAAGAGAACGTTGTGAAACGGCGCGTTCGATCTCAGACGGTTTTCGATCTAATGAACGTCGAGCGCCCGCCGATGGAGACAGCGAGTTGTCGAAAGGACCTAAAGTAGGTGTGTCCGTGAGATCACGTTACTCGGACGACACTCCTATCGCAGGTTCCGCAATATGTTACATTGCCAGAAAGCTGAAACCCTTGGAGGAACAGGTCGGCCAAAATGTTTGTCAATTTCACGCTTAATTGGTGTCGCGATCGACAGGGTTCCCGTTCGCAGGATGGATGTAAATTATCGGTTCCTCCGAATGCGTCAACCGCGAAACAAGCCGAGATATTGAGACATTTTCCCTGGCGTTTGTTTCCCCTCGCCTTGAACATATTTTTGGAGTCACGTTTCGTCAGACGAAAAATCTCGGAGCCCGCAATTCTGTGTTCTCACCGTTGTAATAAGCTATCGCGTATCATCTTACAACATCGATTGTTGGCACAATTAACTCTGCTCATGTCGACGCCACTGGGATATGGGTGTCAGGGAACAAGAAACCACGATTATCGTATGTTTTACCGTTTTGTATATCTTTATTTATATATTAACAGAATAAAGGCCATCTGATAAGTGCATCTTGCCTTTCATTACACAGTAAAATGTAATATGTGGATGGCGAATCTTTATGCAGATATAACATGGATTCATTTGTCGAGTGCAGAATCCAACGGAAATTCCTTTACCCATTGGGAGTTTTATTAGGAGGATTTTCTTGTTCCTTTGAAACATCGAGAATGTTATAAGTGCATAAAATTCACAGTCCAATCATATGCATAGCAATACGAATCCGTGTTACTGTTCGAAAAGGAATAGCTGCGTTGATTAGAGTACAGTATTAATACAATTTGTTTCAAGGAAATCTTTAGACATAAATTAAAATTCGTCAGATTATTTTGACGCTCGTACTATCGTTATAAGGATATATGTATTATTTTATGTGTTGTTTGTGTAACTGTTATTAACGCAGTTGAACTGCGTTTGGTCCGTGTATCACTCGTGATTAAAATATATTACTGTTTTGATAAAGTGATACCGATGTATGGAGCACCAAGTATTTTCCAAAAGTACCGTGAAACGCAAACGTTCGATTACAGTGCAATTAACCGGGAAGGTGTAAAATATTAACAAAATATATACTTTTTAATTAAACCTGTTGAATATTCTAGTTAGTGAACCAACTTAACCCATTGGAACTTGATTAATCGATGACAAGCTACATTTGCTGCGTCGAATTACCATTCCATGTGTTATTTTCATCATTATCATCCCCACCTGAATGAAGTCTATGTATATTCCCCTCCGTTTTGATGGTTGTCCCCCCTTGATCACCCAAATATCTTCTGACCAAACTAAATACCACAAATAATATTGTAAGAAGCCGTGAATAATACCATTCAACTGATAAAAGAACTCCTTCATAAATGTGGAACCTACCCAGATGAATTGGTAACATTTTGAAGGTTCGGTATAAACGTTTCGTCGGAACTATTCGCAGAGTCGTTGTTCTCAACGGGGTTGTTTTCTAGTCTCCGAGCGTTTTGTTGCGTACCTCCTAAGAAGTAACCCATCAAGAAGTTGTAAACACCTAGTATAGGTGCAAAGAAGGTCCACACAAATCGTGATATGAACCCAGCGTTTTGTGTCGACGTTACGGTCGTTGTCACGTTAGACTAAAATCATACATTAAGACTGTAAATAATTCGTAGTAGGACGAAAGTAGGAATCTTTTTTAAAACACAAATATCAATTACATTTTTCAATGGTAGAATTAATATTACAGCGGTTGGAACCAGTTCCAGTTCCAATAGAGTTTTGTCATCTTCTTCGGGTGTTAAGTCCCTTCTCGGGAATGAGATAGACATCGCGAATTGTCGGAAAGGTAAATCAATGTTTTGGACAACATAATTACGTAATTCGCGTAAAGTACTCGACGGTTCGAATTGTCCCATATGAGGATTACCAGATGGCAATCTGAATTGAATTCTAGTCACAGTTGCATCGCTTGCAACAGGCATTGCTGGTTTAGGTGGCTCTTGGCCTTGTTGTTTCTGCATCTGTTGCTATATTTAATAAACATTTATTTTGTCCGAAGATAAGAATATTATTTTATTAGTAAGATTAACTAAAAAAATAAGTATACCAACCTGCATAGCTAGTTCCTTTTGCTTTCTTTCTAATTTATCCTGAGCAATTTGTTGTCTAACTTTCTCCCTAGCTGCTGCATCAGCAGCTTTCTCTTTCAGTCTCTGTTCATGAGCCTGTTTCATTTCTAGATCCTGTTGTTTCTGTCTCATCTTTTGAAGGTCACGTCCAACCTTACGGCGTTCTATTTCTCTTTCCCTTGCTTTCTTTTCTTCATCCTCAACACGTTGCTTACGTTGCATTTCTATCAACTGCCGTGCTCTTTCCAACTGTTCCTGAAGGCACATAATATTTTAATGTTTTCCTCCTTAAAATTAAGTAATTTTAAGATCAGTGAAGTATAAACATACTTCTTTTGTCAATTCTTTGGTACTTGTTTCTTGTGTTTCAGTACTTGGGGTTGGGGGATCAACTGGTTTATTAACAGTAGGTGGTTCAACTTTCACATTTTCTGTTGTTACATTATTAATCTCATTTTCTAATTTTGTTGGTTCCAAAGATATATCTGTATTTGATTTTATTGTGCTATCACTTTCAAGGTTTACAGTAGTATTGGAATTTGTACTAGAAGTGTCAATAGTGCTGGTACTAGCAGCGGCATTTTTCTCTGCATCTATTAAATTGATAGATTCAGAATTCTTGTTTTTTCCTGTTTTTGTTAAAACCAAATCAATTTTTGTTAACAAATCTTTGGCTGTTATTGTACCAGCAACAATTTCTAAAGGTGTGCCATTTATACCAATAAAGAAGATAGATGGCACAGGTACCAATTGATCTTATAGAAAATATTAAAGAAAATAATATTTAAATTACCTCTACTTTCATGGTATCAATTGATTAATTTAGTAATTGTTAATACATTACATAAAAAGGATACAAATCTGGGCAAAAAACCTATAGGTCTCAGACCCACTTTCCAACTTAATTGCTACAAAATTTTCATGTTCCAAACGACAAGAAACTTCTGAATCATTGAGTGCTTCAGCAACTTCTACAGATGTGTCATCTTTTCCTGCAATACAAACAGATTGGAATATGATGAGTGAAAAGGAGAAATTTTTATGTTTAATGCAGTATTAAATGTGGCTGCATATCACTGTGATTGAAAGTAGAAGATAAATTTTATAAAAAAAACATGGACAATCAGAATGAATAATAGCTTAACCTATGATTATAAATATACACCTTCAACAAAAACGACGAAAATTGCTTTTCTAGCTTTTGATGTTGCCACAGCTTCATTAATGCTACCTTCGAACCACTTCATTTTTTCGTCGGAATTGGAAATATTTATGCTCCGTTATACTATTAATTGATAATGACGTAATGAAAAAGTAGTTTAATCACTAGAAATTTTCTGTAGAACTTGACGTTTCAAAATCTGTTCGAGGTTGGAATAGGTAACTTTGGGACAGTATCAATGAAACAGGTCAAGGTACTCATCAAGTCAGTTTATTTTTCAAACAAATTAAATCGATGTACATGGAGGCATTTACTGTAAGCATCATCGTCTATAATACTGTATAAAGACCTAAATTTATTTAATATAAAATACAGATCAACATTATACGCATATATAAGAAATTTATTCTGAACCAATAGCTGTAAGTTTCGTTATTAAATCGATGGAGGTTCAATCTGTTGTGAGTCCGCCTTTAAATTCCCAAGGCCAAATAAGGACCAACAGAAATGAACCATTTTAGTGAGGTTAGTGTGTAAATAAGGACTGTGAGGAAGAAGTTAAGGAACAGGCGAAATTGAACGTGAATTCTCGCCTGTTTCGTGAGAAGGGCATTGCTAAACAATGGCGTATTTAATGGAAAAAGGTAAGTGATGTTCATATGATTTCTCATTTATTTAAGTTAAACGGTATTTCCTTGGTAATCGCAAGACGAGCGCGGTGCATCGTGTTGTTTTGTTGGCCACACTGTTTGTATCACCATATTCCCCGCTTTTCGTTGGATTGTCAAACGGAATGGTGGAATAAAATCTGGTAATGGCGAGTGCGTCTGTTCCGCATATTTGATGTTGTGATAAAGTTGGGCGTACGCGTCCGCCTTATCAGTTGTGACAAAGTATTTTGTTTCGAGTATGTTCACTTGATTTTGGCGTATACGCTTAGTTTTTAAGCGAAGATAATCGATACTAAAGAGATCAAAGTGCCCAGTGTACTATGTCGGTGATTCATTATCGGAATATGGAAGTACGGGACAGATAATAGAAGATAATCGTATTATACGAGAAAAATTTACGACCTCGTATATTTTACAATACGTGCCTTTTTTTCATCGTTCTTGCTTCATGCCACGTCAAAAATATATTTGAAGGTGTTACAAGGTCGAAATAATCAATACACGGAGAATAACGCGATAATATGAAATCGAAGCGAGCATGAAGGTAACTGTGTGTTTCGACAACGTTAGAGTGGTGGTTCCTTGCGGGGATGGAACCCTACTGGTTAAAGACTTAATGCACGAGGCTATTCTAAGGTATAAAAAAGCTACTGGAAAAAATGATAATGGATTAACTATAAACAGCCTATCCTCCTTGACTGGAGGTGGTCTTCTGGATCCAGATGATAGGTTATGTGATGTAGCTGATGACAGAGAGCAGATTGTTGCTCATTTTGTAAGTACAGATACAACGCATGCTGGTGGTGATGGGGCAAGTTCTGTTGGGACAAATAGCCCTGACTTTTTTCACACAGATGGCAAAGAGTTAACTTATGCAATAGATACACATTCCTCTATACCTAGCAGTAGTATTAAAAGAGAAAGTACTAAAAGATTGTCTATGCATGCACTGTCAACTAGAGAACCTTGTTTAGCTACATATTCTGCTCAATCCCTTCCCAGAGAATCTAGACGTAGAGAACCTCTGGGACAAGATGCCAAAGCGTCATTTGACTATGCGAATGCCAATGTAGAACTTGCAGATCAGGGTGAAATTCGGGAAATTGTGATAAAAAATGAGGCAGGTCCACTGGGACTTCACGTGGTGCCATGTTACGATCTGTTGGGTAATGATCAAGGACTTAGAGTCGAAGGTATTGAGCCGAATGGCAGAATTGCCAGGGATGGGCAGATTGATTTGCATGATAAAATAATAAAAATAAATGGTCACAACCTATTGCATATACCATTCTCCAAAGTTCAAGAAATCTTTCGGACTTGTATGACAGAACCCTGTCTCAAGATTTCAGTGGTGAAACACAAGAAGCCACGCGAGAAATCATTGCATAAAAATCATGGCAACACCAGTGGAGGGTCGGAGAAAACAGAAACCGATGATAATGTCAAAAGACTCCAGTGTAGTAATTATAATCTATTGCAAACAGCTAATACCCGTAAAATTGGTCGTATGATAGAAATAGAATTAACTAAAGGAAGCAATGGATTGGGATTCAGTGTCACGACCCGTGATAATCCTGCAGGTGGGCATTGCCCCATATACATAAAAAATATATTACCAAAAGGTGCTGCGGTTGAGGATGGTAGATTGAGGCCTGGTGACAGGTTACTGGAAGTAAACAATAAAGAAATGACTGGCAAAAGTCAAGCAGAAGTGGTGTCACTTCTTAGAAGTATTCCACCAGGTGGGAAGGTGAGAATGGTGGTCTCCCGACAAGAAGAAATTTCATCCAGTGCTCCGGATTCTCATTCCCAAGCCACTTCCACCAGCCAGACGTCAGAAACTACAGATAACTCAAAATACTGGAACGCGTTGAATGTATCGCCAATAAAAAAGAATACCGAGGTACACGATAAAGTAAATACCCGCAGTTACGATAAGTGTACGTTTAAACCCGTCAAATCATCGGAAGATATCGTTTTATCGCCACGTAAAAATCGTATGATATTAACGCTGGATATACCAGTGCACGATTCGGAGAAAGCTGGGCTGGGTGTCAGTGTAAAAGGTAAAACGACAAATACGGACGAAAATACCAACATGGATTTGGGGATTTTTATAAAGAGTGTCCTTCACGGGGGTGCAGCGTCTCGGGACGGACGATTAAGGACCAACGATCAATTGCTCAATGTCAATGGGGTGTCTTTATTAGGATTATCCAATTCCGACGCGATGGAAACCCTCAGGCGGGCGATGCTCAACACAAATAGCTCAGTAACGGGTGTAATCACCCTCACAATAGCAAGGAGGATATCGTCCTACGACGCGAACGAGAAAAATCTTCCAGAAAATTTAAATTTCCATTGTAAATTAGAGTCCGCTAACAGTATATACATTTCAGACACCACGAAAGCGAACGAGGGCAGAGTTAAAGAAAAGAATAACCTAAATTCCCAGTCGGACATTTTAGACAATGGCGGACTGTTGTCCTGCGTAACGGCGTCTCCATGGAACCCAGTAATAGACCGATTAACAGAACAATACAACAAAAACAGTTTACGAAACGAAAGTTACTGCATCGCCACTAATAAAACGTGGATAGAACCAGTCAGCAATGTAAAGAAAATTACGGTAGGACAGCGCGACGACCGCGCGGAACCAGTATTGTTAGAAGACACCAACGACGCCCAGTGCAATGATCCTAAAAGGAACGCTGACGACAAAGATAGTCAATATTCAGGAGACCCGACATACGATAGTCAATTGTCCTTGGAGGAATTCAGCTCATCCTCCAATAAATTCTCCCGAGACGCTTTAGGCAGGCAGAGTATGTCCGAAAAACGGCACGCAGCATTGGACGCGAAGAACACGGACACTTATAAGAGGAACAAGAAGCTGCGAGAAGGACGCGAGAATAAAACACAGGAGCAGGGGAATCAAAAGCCCGCGAACCAGTCGACTGAATCGGAGGATCAGACGAGGCGGGCTGGTAAACCGGAAAGTTTCGAGAAAGGGAAAAGTAAAGGCACCAGCGAAGGAAGCACTAGCGACAATAATTTGAAACGGTACGAGAAGTCCGTGGACCCAGCTCAGTCGGAATACGTGTACACTATACCTGGGTGTAATAATAAATTCACTTCGCCGAGGAAACATTGGCTGGTGGACGACGTCCACGGCGAGATAACGAGTAGCAATAATTTTAAGGACGATCGCGAGGGTTTCCCCAATAGTCGGGGCGACGTGAAACAGGCTTCACTCAATTCAGCTTTAGATGATCGATACAAGCGTTCCAGAAAAAAAGGCGGCATCCGGTCGATGCTTCGGTTAGGGAAGAATAGGAAATCGCTCAACTTCGGCGACAGCATAGACGCCCGTCACGAGTCCAGCAATTATTGCAGCGGGACAATCAATTATATCGCATAATAATTAAGGAAACAGAGAAAGGGGTATTTATAACGTAGACGCGGAAACCCACGATATACATAAAACGTACTTGTACATCTTAGAGAACCACGTATTATACACGAATCACACATTTTTAACACGGATCGCACGCTGCGTACATATAGTATATATACACCATACATGTATGATTTGTTCCAAAGTGCCTTATATCGTTGAACTATTAAAAAAAAAGGAAAGATTAATCGATTCTGTATATATATACAATTTTTTTGTACTCGTCCTCAATTCGTACCGATCATGTATCTATTTCGAAAATAAATCGGAGACGTGCACTCAATTAATCCAGTGTGTAAATTGAATAACCGGTCGTCCCGAAGCGGGAGATGTTTCGTTAGACTTTCGAGAAATTCTTTCTACCGTCCTAGGAACGTTCGTAAATTCCATGTAATTCCATTCAATCGGAAAGAGGGAAATTTGGATGCAAACAGTGTGGATAGATGCCCGAGGATACACGACAGTAGGTACCTCCAGTCAGGTGTCCAACGAAGAAACTTTATCGCATCTGTAAATTTAACCTGTCTTCACTGTTTCAGCATTTCAGTTAGTACCAAAGCAGTTGCTGTATCAGCAGAAATGTTTCAAGAGCAAAATCAACCTCAAGAAGCCAAAAATATTTTTTAAAAAGAAGGTGGTGAACCAGCTTGTGAAACCATTCTTTGTTAATCCCAGACCGAATCTAACCATCGAGGATCTGTGCGTCGAGTCGGAGTTTAAAAAGTCAAATGAACTTGGACCGTACGAAAAAATTATAGCAAGGGACATCCGCAATTGGTTCGACCAATCGAAAATGGTCGCTTGCTTACACGTGAATAGCATTGGTGGGGAAGAAGTGTTCGAAATGAGGGTCCCTCTGACTAGAGCGAACCTGCATTACAAAAAGTATTCACCTAAGATTGTTCGTGCGGCAATAGAGGACACGCCTTATGCAAAAGCGCTCGATCCAGTGATCAGTAATTTTACCGCGTATGTATTTAGTCCCGAAATAAATTTAACTGATCTGGAGAAGATCCTTAAAAAGTTCTATCGAGTACATATTTTGGGTGAGTATCCGCAAGGAGAATACTTAACGACCGGCCTCGTTGGAAATAATGTTGTTCGTTTCAGGGGGTATACTGGAAGGTGGAGTACACAAATACGATAATTTCATGAAGTACGGAAGAATGGACATCACGACAGCACAGTTGGGTCTGTTTCAAGTATTGCAGAACGCGGGCGGCGTTAACCTTAATCGGCAGCTCACGCATCATCAGACAACACTGGTGTCTCGACTGAAACAGATCGGTACAAACGGGTCAGCTACGAACGAGAACGAACAATCGGTGCCTGTATAATTCGCAGAACTATCTGTATCAATAATTTATTATACATTTGTCATTCACACGAAGCTTTAAAGTAAAGTACAATTTATTTACCCCGAGTCCGGTTAAGGCAGAGCTTAAAGAGA